GCTGGAGAGGAGATCAAGGTAGAGGGGCGCGGGGGGGGGGGGGGGGGGGGGGGGGCTTACTAGATACTTAGTTGGAAATGGTCTTTCCAAATCCAGAGAGGTTGTTGAGAATCAGAAAGGGGACGAAGTAATTTATCTACACGACATCCACCCATCTTATGTTCTTAGCTTATTTGCTGGATCTGGTAACAGCTTTCCCTAGTCCCAGGGGCATAGCTTCACTCATCTCTAGTTCTGTCTCCAGACTTGCCAACTGGACATTACCAGGAAAACTTGTCTAGTCCTCTCCCTGTTTCCCTCCTCAGAGCCTCTGGTGGAAGAAAACAACCTTGCCAATCTCCACAAAAAGGTCCCCATGCAGGAGCCTCAGAAGTTTTAATTACCAATGCCAGCCTTTTGGGCTGGAGATCCCACTCTTTTGGACTCATAGTCCAAGGGAATCACGGTTTCTCCCAGGAATCCCTGATCTTCTCAGCCAGGAACCTCTTCTTCACTCAGATCCAGCCTGGCTCAGATCAGCCTCATGGAGATTGAGAGGGTCTTGCTGTGGAACCTGGGGCACTCTGAAAAATAGTATCTACAGTACTCTTCTGGATATTTGTCTGCTAGTGTCATAGAAAGCATTGCTCCCACTCTACAGCAGGTATTGCAATTATTGGCATTCAGGATGGCCTGGATTTGGGTCTCCATCATAGTACACTGTACAAACAGACACAATCCCTCTCTCCTTTTTTCAAGAGAAAATGAAAAATCACAATTTGCATGCCTACCCTGAAAATTTCTCTGAGCAGCACACATAATTCAACCATTATACATATTTCCATTGTGGAGGCTCCTAGCAGTTCTCAAGGCACTCACTGCCTAAACTTTCAAACTTTACATCCTGTTTCTTTTTTACCTTTTCCCCTCAACATGGCTTCCTAGTTCCTTATTACTTCAGCTCATAGAATTTCTGAACTCGTCTTCCACTCCTAAATCTAACATAGCCTTCTCCAGGTCTCAGGAGATTGCACATACTGTATTTCCTTTCATTGCCAACCTGAGTCAACCCTTAGAAAAGCTGTGGCATAGGCTTCATGTTAAAAGGTCAGTCAAGACTGTATCAAAAGAATGATATCCTCCAGGAAATGTAGCTTTCATTTCCTTTCCCAAATCTCTGAGTAAAGAGGCTTCCCTTTCCATTTTCATCAAGTGGATTAAAGCTTGGATATTTCTCCTCCCCAAGTCCAGCTATATCGCCATCCATTCCATAAGGGTGGCAGCTACTTCTGCAGCCTTCTTGGCAGGTGCTCCTCTGGATTAGATTTGCAGAACAGCTACTTGCATTCAGCATTCGTGAGACACTGCAAAATTGAAATACATCTTTCAGCAGCAGCTTCCTTTGGGATGCACGTTCTTCAACAAGTTTTTTCTAATTGAAATAAACATCTCCTTTCCTGCAGACCTAGGATTTGCTCCGGCAGATCCCATTCCTGGACAGCTCCTTTCCACAGAACGAGAATGGGACATCAGCTTACCTCCATGAAGGTCCTTTCTGATCTGTGAAAAAGATGGCCAGATACATCCAGCTGGTTGCTGACTTCACCTCTGCCTTAATCCATTGGCACTTTAACCTACTTTCCTGTCAAGCTCGCCCTTTCTCTGACTAAGCTGGGAGCATGACTGCTAAATTCTTCTAGATTCCCCCTTCCTTCCTGGCCTAGGCTGAGAAAGAGATAAACCCATTTCTGAATGGTCCCTTCTCCACAGACAGAAGCCAATGTCCCATTCCCATTTGCTCTCCAACTTTTTCTTTCTTTGAAGCAATAACCTATTTTGCATGCCTTTCCTAAACCAAAACAATGCTTCTAGACCCTGTAGCTGTGGCGGCAAAAAACATCCAAATCTAGTAGTTTTAATTTGTGGGCAATTAATGAGCACCCACTTTTCTTTTAAATGCTATTTCTTTTGATCAAAAAATGCAGTTTAGTGAGTGACCAAAGGCTGCTTCTTCAAACTACACAGATGTGCTTAGATCGATTTTAAGCCCCATTACAGCTGCTGAAATACGTAGTTCATTTTATGAGGTCAAGAGGGCTTTGAACAATCCAGCCAGCAAAATGTAGCAGAAAAGCAAACATTTTTCCTCTATATTCTTCCCTTACCATTGACATTAGCAGGTCATTAGTTATTTCTAAAGCTACACTATGATTTGTATTTGTACCACTCACCTAACATTATAAACTGAAATATATAATCAACCACTATTCTGCCAAAAGTTCATGTTCTGCTTCAAGAATCAACAAAATAAAAGTCAGAACTGATCACTGGCCTCTGCAGAAGGAACTGTCCTTTGTGGGAACCATAGTAATAATGCAACAGTCTAGTCTCTCCCTTAATACAGATGTATTAGGAGCTAGGCATTTCTCAGTCGAAGGAAGTACAGTGGTGCCTCGCTTAATGGGCGCCCCGTTTAATGAAATCGCATAGCGATTAACTTTTTGCGATCGCTTTGCGATGTTCCCTCTGGGGAAAAATCGCTTTGCGATGATCGGTACTATGTTTTGCTTACCAATCATCGCAAAGTGATGATGTTTAAACAGCTAATTGGTGGTCCCAAAATGGCCACCGGGTTAAAAAAAAATGGCCGCCTGCTGTTTTCTGGGACGGATTCCTCGCTTACCGGGCAGCGAAAATGGCCTCCGTATGGAGGATTTTCACTTAAAGGTGAGTCTGAAGCCCATAGGAACGCATTGAAGCAGTTTCAATGCATTCCTATGGGCTTTTTAATATCGCATAGCGACGAAATCGCTTGCAGCAATTTTTGCTGCACCGATTATCGTTGCTATGCAAGGCACCACTGTACAAAAGTGTTCATTTGGGAACAGTCAGCCATTAGTGAGTGGTTCCTGCAGTTTGATTCCCCATCTTCCCTTATGCCAAGACATTTTCAATTGAATTGGGGGGAGTTTTCTAAGAAACATCAATGGTCAACATGAAGGGATTCGAAAAACATATGAACAGTATATGGTAAAAAAGATTAACCGATTACACCTTGGAATTTTTCTCATTAGGAAGAATAGTAAATGTGGTACTGTGCATGTTTAAAAATGCAAGGTAGGTTATATTCAGATACCAGTTTATTATGTTTGAACAAATTTTCTTTTTAAAATTGAATGGAGGCTTCATTGAGAGAGCACAATGAGCTCTCAGTGGCAGGAACCCTTTTGAGATGGCAGGTTTTCCAAGGTATTGTTACATTGCTTCAGTTTTGCAAGGCAGTGTGAATGTTCAGGAGACGTCTACTGAACACATCAGATCTAGGCAAATCCACTCAATGAAGAGTAAATCAGAGACAGAAAGAGAGGATGAAAAGACGTAACAATGAAAGAAAAACATACAAATATAGGAAGACAGCTAGTTCACAGGGAACATACCCCCTACTGTGAACTGTTCAAGTACTTTCATTTGCAACAAAGTGCGACTTCACATTTCACATAGAAAAAAAGCCAATAAAGTTGGAATGGACAGACAAGAAAGGCTGGGGGGAGCAGGATGCTCTGCATTACAAATGATTTAGAAGTTGAAAGCATCACTATTGTCTTGAATCTGGAAAGTGTATGCATCCGTACTAGACTGTGGAACAACATTTTCATCTTCCTCCTCCTGTAAAAACAAAGGTTAAAATACTTATGACAGTGCTAAAAGCAAACCATTCAAAAAAGAGTCTTATGAAGACTGGTGCTAAATTGTGGCAGTTACTAGACTGATGAACATGTACTGTTTGTTGTTACTCAGCACTAGCTTCCACGTAAGTAACCTTAAAAGGTACAGAATGTTATGGCATAAAATAACTAAATACATGTTAACAATACACTGCACAGAGACTTACAATGGACCCTTCACGTACGCACAGCTCGACGTGCGTACTTTTAGAGGTACAGACTTCTCCGGCCACAAGATTTCCAATCGACTTGCAGCCGGACAATCAACCTACGGGCCAGAAGCGGGGAGGGGGGGAAAAGGGACAAATTTCCCCCCCCCCCCCCTTCCAGTCCGTAGGCCGCAGGTCGTGCCTCCGGATGCCTTCCAGGGCTTCTCCACCACCATGGGAGGCATTGGGAGGCATCTCGGAGGTCCCCCCTGCTTCAGAGGCACTATCGGCGGCGGGGAGGGGGGACACCTCTGAGAGGCCTCCGGCAGCAGTGGGGAAGCCGTCGGGCAGCGGCAATGGCGACGGCGGGGGGCCCCTGGAAGGCTTCGGACAGATAAGGTGTCTTTATTTTAATTTTTTTTATTTTTTGGGGGGGGGTGTTCTTGAGCCAGTTACTGATTATAGGGTTTTCAATGTATTCCTATGGGAAATGGACCCTCGACCTATGGACGTTGACCTGCGGCCACCGTTCCAATATGGATTAATTCTATAGGTCGAGGGTCTACTGCATATGTGTTAAGCCCCAAATATATTATGTTACCTCGCCGCAGCTGTTATGACACAACGAGATTGTAGCTTTGTTGGCTCAGCACACTCACCTCTGCTGAGAAATATTTCTCAATCAGATTTGCTGCAGCCTTGTACACCAGTTCATTTTCATGGGATTGTAGAGCTTCAATTTTATCCAATCCGCCACACTCTTCTATCATGATGCACAGCTTTTCAGTCTCCCCTATTTTCTCAGATGCCTATGGAGATATAGTATGTTTAAAACATTTGAAGAATTAGCCCCAGTTAAGCTTTGTTGAGACTGAACCAGGATATTCATTTTCACAGCAATTTTAAATTCAAGACTTAGGCCACAATCTATTACTCGGGTATCAGAAAATGAGTTTTACTGAACTCTACAGGAACAAGCAAAGCACTGTACTATTAGCAGACCACATATCTTCTGCACTGCTGGAGTTTCCCATCACGGGAGCAGCAATACTGTACACTAGCTGTGTATAGAACTAAATTACTCTCCAGGGTGCTGCAGTTATTTTTCCCTTGTATTTTTTTATGAATTTTAGATTTCATAGATGTGTATCACCATATAAGTTGAATGCCAGTTGTTATGTGGAGTTTAAACCTGTAAAACGCGCAGAGAAGTGCTTGCACTAATGGAGTGTTGTGTATATATAGTCAGGCAAATGATGTAGTGAGGTCTGAGGCTTGAACAGTCTGACAGTATATATAGGTGTGAATAAGAATATATTCTAGACTCCCTAGCCAAGGTCTGGCCCACAAGTGCATTTCATAATATTAATATTAATAATATTAATAACATTAATAATATTAACAATATTATTAATGATATTAATAATATTAAT